CACCTTTCTCCCAATGGAGGGAACCAAAGGAGCTCACTATTCATTAAAACAATGTAACCAAACATAATTAAAAGTACAATAGAACATCCATCTATCAATCTATCAAAGAATTAACAATATTTGAAAGCCACCATTTAAAAACACTTAGAAACATACAAACCAAAAATAAGTAAAAATACACACACAAGCAGGCATCTCATAACATCTCAATTGATAGGCTAATCAATTAAAAACCTGTCTTTCCCTGCTGATAGAAAGACGAGGAGGAGGGAGAGTGCAAAGGTGTGTTACCTGGCATAGATCTGCATGTATTGAGGTCAGCTGGTTGGTGTTCATTTGCATCTTGTCTATGGCTTGCCTGAGGATGCCAATGCCTCGCAGGGGCTGTCAGAAGCAAAACAGGCCTTTTGTTAGGCGAGTTTGCACATCGCCTGCAGTGGCAACATTGAGAAGTGCAACACCACCCCATCCACCATGTGCCTTTAAGCCTGAAAATGCCCAGGTTATAATTCAATCCTGCCTTGACCTAAGGGGCAATGGCCAAGAAGCATTCCCATTTCCCAAAGTAAAAGGGGTGGGGGGAAAGGAGGATGCAAAAGACTGCAGCAAGTCCAGAATTACATCCAGGGAAACATCTATCCTAGCGCTCCAAGAAATCTTTAAAAACAATGCTTTAATCTCCTCTGCTCGGCCTGGTTTACCTGCTTCCGTTCCACGAGGGCATTTGTTAACTGGTGACACAGGCCAGCAACTAGAGGCAAGGGAGAGAAAGGAAAGATGTTAGAACCCTCACAGAGAGAACACATCCCGTATAACCAGCATGGCAAGACAGCAGGATGAACTTACAAGTGTCTGTTGCATATCGGATGTGTTCCCCGTTACAAGTGCTGATAAAAAGCTGGACCTGCGAGAACAATGTTTCGAAGTCAGGGACGCTGGGCATAGAAAACTTCACAAACCTGAAAACAAGAGGAAAGAGAAACACACTTCATGGGTATTCAGTTTTGTTAGCAGCTCTAGGGTCTTAAGAAGACAGGTACCAAGCAGCAGAACCTTTAGATACTGTTCAATTCTCTGACAGAATGAAACATACAGAGGCAGAGAAGCATCTGTTCTAGATCACCCCAGAGTGCAGGACACATAATGATAGGCTCAA